TCCCAGAGCATGACAAAATTTTGTTTATAAGGAGATAAACCAGATTCCTTGAAGAACCTTTTCAGAGCGAACAAGCAGATACAGCTCCAAAGCTTTGTCTGATCACAGTTCTGTCAGAAATGAGGTGTCAACTCAGGAGTGAAAAGGGAAAAAAAGACCACATCTCTGAGCTGCTATCAGGAAAGATGCAGCTATACTAGCAAGAAAATCCTTCTGGTGGTAAAGCTGCATGCGTTTCGGGAACAGGCAGAGGTTATGCAGCTAAAGAATTTCTTGCTTATATAATCCAAGTCTGCGTTTGATGGTACCTTTATAGGTTTTCCATTGCAGATAGAGAGTGCAGTAACCCAAGAGATTTTACAAAAGTGAAAGAAAAAAACTTGTGCCAGAACTCTGAAATATTTCAACATATCTCACATATCTAAGCTCCCTTTTCTGTAAGTGAAGGGTTAATTCATTGAACCTTTTCTCAGAAACATGCACTAACTTTGTAATAAATGACCTTCATGTATTTTCCATTATCAGTGCTTTTCTTATTAAAAACTATCTGGACTAGTTCAATGACTCACCAATAAACTGTAAGTAACTGTAATAAACTGTAATAACTGTAAGTATTTGCATTTTAAGAAAAGAAAAGGAAGGAAGTGCTCAGTTGCTGGCACAAACGGGAAAGCTAATTCCAGCCAGATCATTAGGCCATAAAAATAAGTTGCCTTTGCACAGACTCTGGACAGATGCTGGCATAGGCTGGAGAATAAGAACTTGACTTGGCAATGTGTGTATATGCACGTATTCTGCCAAGGTCACCAGGTCTATGGTTTTGCTGAGTAAGGTTTTAAAAAGGCAAATCTAGTGCCCCTCAAGCAAAAGCCTATAGCTTTAAAGCTATCGCAGGGAAATTAAGTCTATCAAGTTTCTGATAGAGGGCCATGAAACTGCTGTGGTTCACACAAAGAAACCTAAGCTAGCAGCAGCTATCTGAGAAAATAACTTTAACTAGTTTTAAAATAGTGAAAACAGATGGTAAATTGATACTGTACCTGGGCACGCCCTGGCTTTTGCACCCATCTTTCCAGGGTAAGCAGATGAGCATTGAGAGCTTTCCCCAGCTGATTAAGGAAGGCCAGGTTGAGGGGCACTCCAAATAAGGCATAAAACACACAGAAGATCTGCCCCGCCACTGTGCTGGGGGACAGGTTACCATAACCTGGAAAAGAAAAAAGAAAATGTGAAAAGGCTCTACAGTCAAGCTGCAGGCATCATGGAGTGTTCATAAACTTGGAAGCTCAACTACATTAAGCTTCAGAAACTTGTGGATCTATGATTTTCTATGATTAAATTTATCTGCAAATTTCCATTGCTTGTGATGAAGCATTTTGCATTCACTACCACTAGCTAAAAATTAAACATAAAAAATATTACTCTTCCAGGCACTATTGTAACTTTCTATAGGTCTCTGATTTTGTGGTGAGTGTGACTCAGTGCTTCAAAGCAACCTAAAGATGTGCTGTCCATGTACAAAATGATCTTGCATGTACCAAGTAGGCACTCAGCTTTTTTGGGAGTATAAAATACTGTATACAAAAAAATAACAGGCATAATTGGAAACCAATAGAAAACCATAACCCATAGTAGTAGATTGTCTTGCAGGTGTATTCTGACCACTAATTACACATTTCTGGGGGCTTTACAGGATGGTTGGAGGAAATACCAGTTTTTAAGGAAAGAGAGTACCTCACCTATGGTGGTGACAACAGTTCCTGCAAAAAAAAAGGAGTTGCTGAAGTCCCAGTTACTGGGATTTGTAGAGTTTCCTTCTGGGTTGACCCCTTTTTCCCATGCTTCCATGAGGACCTGAAGCAGAAAAGGTCAAAGGAGCAAAGATGAGGAAGAATGTCAGAAATAGAGATAAGAAAATACTGTTTTCCATCTTGAGCAAGCAGAGTGATAAATAGTGCAGATAAAAGGGTAGAGTTGGACTAAAAAGAACTGCTGACATGGCAAAACTTGGAAATAGAGCTGGCCTATTGAACTCTTGCTATAGGAGAACAGGTCATTGAAGTTCCCCAGCTAGATGAAATCTAAGGGGAAGACGGTCAAGGATTCCCAAAGTGATCAAACTGGGAAAAAAAATTCAAGTTGTGCCATAAGAAATAAAGTAGTTCATATTCTCTTCTTCTGTAATCTAAATCTCATCCAAGTTCTTAATTTAGGCGTGTGTAAATGTATAGTTGTGTCTGTGGGCAGGGGAATGGGGAACATGCTCATTTCTGTTTGCTCCATTTACGTGCTAGTAAGGATGAATTACTCTTTTTGGCTATAACTTCCATATAATTTTCAATGAATATTAGGCTTTTCCTAGTCTGAAAGATTAACTAGAAAAATATTCTCTGCTACTCCAGATAACTCTTACCAGACCAAAACTACTGTGTGACAAAAAAATTACTTCTCCTGCATCAAATATCCTGTCAATTGACCTAATGAAGATTGTGTTCCTTTGCTGTCCTCAAGGATTTCTCTGTGGGAGAATCGTTTCCCTCTGCTCAGTGGTTGGGGTTTTAAGAATCCCCTTGTTTGTCACATATCTTACAAAGGCTAAGTCACAGCCTTTGTAATTTTGCAAAATGCCTGAAGGAATTACTTGTTCATCTTGTCTAAAGACTGTATGATGCAAGACATGAGCAGGAGTCAACAGCAACCCCAGCTTTAGCTGGTTCCAGGAGTATGAGACCCAAGATCATTTCAAATGTTAACCACTCCCAGAAAGATTGCTTTTCTAGTGAACTCAACTAATGCTTAAGGTATCTGATTTTGGACAGGTTCTGCAATATTAGCTGATCTGTACTGGTGGACTGAGTATCCTAAGTATAGTAGCTAATTTGATTCCTTCAGTAAAAAATCCTACAGCATTTGTCAAATTTATCAGAGACCTGCTGGACTTCATCACGTGTGATCTCATGACTGAAGTGTCTGCAGAGCTTACTTTCAATATGGCAAAGAACTTTGTATTATCCATTAAAAGCCTTTTCTTAGAATGAGAAGAATTCAGCATGTCAGATTTTCTACAGTTACTTATTTCATTTGCTGCTTAGAAGAAACACACAGAAGCTACTGAGGTGTGAATATTTTGAAATGATCACAGGTTTAATTTATTCCTGTAAGGAACACTTGACAGTTCTATGCATTTCAATGCACAAGAGTTCACAGGAGTTACGTTCACATCCTGAGAGCCAACACAGAAGAGTAAGGCAACTTTGAATATCAAACCTTTCAGACACAGTCTGACAAGACCTGATTTCTTGGTATAATTGATGCTGTTAAGTACAACCCCATGAAAGAACTCTGTAAATGAAATGGCATCCCAGTGCCCAACAAACAGATTCCTGTGGGACAGTTACAAGGACACTTGGATCCTTCCATCTACAGCTCAGGTAAGGGTTATGGCAGCTGCTGAATAGTTGGTGAACATTTGCTGTTGCCTTTGGGAGAGAAGTTGTCAGTATGTGAGTACGTGAAAGCAATGTGCTGTAATTTATGGTAAGAATATGAAACCTACATTAAGCTAAAGTAGGATGTGGAGAGAATAAAAACTGCCTGCTGTTTCTGCTCCTGTCCCCCTGCCAATGCACATTGCAGCCACCTGTGGTCATAGACAAGGATTTGGTCCTTTTGGTCTGTTTCTACTGTTTATAATCCATTTATAATCTAATTTATAATCTATTTATATCATGTCATTTGAGACTGAAAAAGTATGGACATGATCAAAACACAGACTCCTTAATGCATCTGCTTCTCAGTTATGCTGTCAGACTGGCATAATTCCCTGACTGAAGTATGTCCACCAGAGATGCATTAGATAAGAGAGTTTGGATTTGCACTTTCCCAAAGCTCCAGGCTGCTCATGTTAGGAGCTGCAGCTCAGAGCCATCTCTCAGCTAGGCAGTTTTAGCTATGCAGAATTAATGCAGTTTATTGACATGGAATTACAAGAATTTGTTTCATGCACAATGGAGTCAAAAGTTAATGAATTATAAGTGATAATAGATATGCAAAAAAAAAAAAAAGGTGAATTGGTGTTTAATCTCACATTTCAGGATTTACGTTTAAAGAATGGGCATTTAGACAGGACACTTTGTATTTGTTAGCTGAATGGGCTGAGTCGGGGGACTGTATCTCACTGTAGTCTAACTACTGTGACTTTTCAGACTGGAACTTGTGACATGATGAACAAGCCCCTTAACCTTTAGCCATAAGTTAAAACATGCAGAGACATAACTGCTTCCCTGCATTAGAGATTTAATATGGGAAGACTAGTGTTGTCTAATATTAATAAGAGTCAGACAAAGTTGTTAACAAGTCTTATAAACAACATATGGAGAGAGCACCTTCACTCACATATACCTTGAGGACTACCAAGTCTCAATACGTTGAAGCTTGGTGCATTGTAGATGATTTGGTGCCCTCAGCCGGTTTTATCTGGAACAGCTTACAAGTGAAATTGTGTTTAATTCAGCAGAGACACAGCAGTGAAATGTGATTCTGTGAGTGGCATGGCAGTGGACCTAAGAAAAGTCCACTGGAGTCAGAGAGAGAAGAATCTGGACCCGTGTGACCTCTCCTAATGTTTTGAGGGTAGTGGAGATTTAAATAAACCTTTCAACCCCATAAAGTATCACAGGTTTAGAATGAAAATCAGGGTTTTCACCTCTGCAATCACTATCAGAGAGATAAAGGAAAGACAGGTAACATCACCAAGTCATGAAGGTGAAAAAAAATAGACATGTCTTTAAGCCTGTAAGTTCTTGAAAGCTCTAGTCATTTTCTGGCCAATGCCCAATGTTCCACAGGTACACAGTATCACAGTATTAGTAATCAGAACACTGGTTTTGTAGACAGAGGTTCAGGCACCTTTTCTACCCTTTCTGATCTGAGCTTCACTGTTTGTTTAAATCCATACATGAAGTCTGGGCTTTTTGTTGATCAAAATCATGTACCTCCATGGAAGTCCTCTGACCTGGGCAATATAAATTGTTTCAAGTTTTTGTCAGTTTTAATGACATGGTAGAAAGAGTTCAGACTGTTTAGACACCCAGTTCTGCAACTGTGTATGTTTTGAGCACAAGGAAACTCAAGGATTCAAGATTCAAGGATTTTTGTCCAGTTCTTGCAGTACTGTTATGAAAAAATATATATAATACCAGGAAAGGTCTAATAATTTATCTCCAGCCAGTTTTGAGGAGAAGATTAACATGTAATTGAAGTTGTTAACTGACAACCCATATTGAACAAAAGCCCTTTATCTCTTCTTATGAAAAATAGATAACATATTTTGTAATGGTTGAATTTATAATTTCTTTAGGCCTGGAAGTGCAGGACTCCCTTCAAAGGTAGTAGACAATTTCTAGTACAAAAGGGCAGAATTTGCACAGGTTTGGACTGGAGAACCTTAGAAAGGCAACCTACTTCTTTAGGTTTGATTCTTGTTCTTTTCCCCATGCATAGTCCCCAGTAATAATTAATGAGGGAGATGAGAACCATGAAGCTGGCTTATTATTGCATTTATTATTGCAGAATTATTGCAATGTAGCACTAGTGCATCACTAGATGCTCTTATATTTTGGGAGTTATGACTGTTGAAAGAAAGTAGTTCCATAGATCAAGATAAAGAAGAAGTATATGAATGGGCTTGAGTTATTTATAAAGTTAGATATTTAATATCATGGGCAGCTGATCAGTTTATATAATGCTTGGCTGGTTGGTCCCACTAGTGTAATTTCTCTAAATGAAAATAATGCTAGAGCCAAAACAATGGGAATCCTTCCCTCTTACCTGTACAAACTGCTCCAGGGCTTGTCTGTCCAAACATGTGTAATTCTGCAGGAACTTGAGCTTTTCCAGCTGGAACTGGTCCCGAAAATGTGTTTCTGCCTGCTTCTCCAGCAGCTGGAACACCATAGCACCCAGGAGGAGGTAAAAGAGGTACCCCAGTACCAGCAGTGGAGTCCAGCTGATCTGCTGGCTGTGCATAGTGAGGAGGGGCATGCTGCTGATCTGCCCTTGCCAGCCCTGGCTCAGGACTTTGTAGGTTGCTGTTCCAAGATGTTAACTACCCAAAACACCCAGGAATCACACACTAATGTTCCCAGCTACTGGCCTGGAGAGTTTTTCAATAAAACATCAGAGTATCAGGGCTTACAAAATGAGACTAATAGAGAAATTTTATCCCTCCACATCTGTTCTCTATCAAAAATAAAGGGTGAACATTTATAGCTCAATAAGAGTGTGAATCATAGTGGTTTTTTTTCTATTAGCTTTTATCCAAAGATCTCAATCAAATGAATAAAGCCCTCTGAGGTTGGTATTGGTTTCCAGTCTGGGAAGCTGAATCAAAACTGTGGTTATATGACTGATCCCAGGTCATATGAATATAGAGCCACAGATAGACTCTTAAAGTCTTGACAAGTAAAGCCTTACTCTAAACACTAGACTTCTGTACAACAAAATGCTCTAAACTCTCTAATTACAGCAGACTCCCCAGAAGAAAGAAGAATATGGAGCTGGATAAATGGAAAAGTCAATAGCTGCTGTCTGTACCATACAAACATTGCTGGCACCAGTAAAACCAGCATGGTGAAGCTTTTAAACATCCTGAATTCAACTTGGTCACACAACAGAACCTCTTTCCTTTCTAGTCCTCACTGTCTGGCTTACTGCTCCTGAACCCTGTCAGATGACTCCACCCTTTAGTCCATAGAGTTAGAGAATAAACCACTCATGCCTACTGCCTTCAGTCTCTGTCTTGCCCTTTTAATCCAAATATTTAAGGGGGAAGGAGGGCTTAAGATTAATCATTAGCTAAAAAACTATCAGTGTTTCACTCATGGGAGCCTTAATAATTATCATGTGCTAGAAATGAGCTGGGCTTGCATTTTTTTTCTGTAGGAAGAGCTTTATGGCAAGTGTCACCTGTTTCACACTGCTTCTGAAAGAAAACACACACACACACACACACACACGATGATGGCCAGATGGCTAGGGCTGCAATTTTGTTAGTATACTCCCTTATGGTTAAAAGTTCTGAATACAGATACCCCTACTTTGCTTAGCATTCATATGGTTTTACATCTATCTTCAAACAAGAGATAGTGCTCACAGAAAAAGGCTGAAAAATGAATTTCATTCATATCTGTATCTGGGAAAATCCCTGGACTTGCCATTTGTTCTGTGCTTGTAATCTGGGGCCAGCCATCATCCAGAGGAGGATGACTGACCAGCAGCAGAAGGCCACTTGCTATTCTGAAAAGTGAAAACTATTGTGGATAATTCCCAGGAGACCATCCTGGACTTTGTCTGGGACTGTTCTGTCAGTGTGAGTAGGAGAACAGAAAGATTTCAATGGGGAAGTGCAATGTGCAAGGATTCAGCCTGGGTGATCTGGTGTTTCTTTTCAGCTGAAAAAGCAAATATTTGAGAGATGGAAGTTATAGTATCATTGATACTACTGAGCATTGCAGCAACATTATGAAGCAAACTGATCTGAATCAGCTGAGACATCCAGCTTATTATAACTGATGGAAGGCCTTCTCTTGTTCTGTGCTAGGGATGATATTTACTCACACAGTATCTAACAAGAGCATCAGTCTTGTGTCTGACTTCCATAACTAAAAGGTACAGCTTGTTATTCCATTCCCAGTGCAGTGATATGGGTAGGCAAGCCTGGGGTATTGCACTAGCAGGGCTGTCTGTGGTGGGAGATCCACTGTTTGTTGTGTTGTTGTTGACAGGACCTATGACTATCAGGCTGAGAGAATGCCAGCTTGCTGGTTTTCTGAAATGGATGCAAACCATGGAATTGTGATAAGTTGGGCTGGGCCAAATTTTCTCACTTGAAGTACATTTCACAATTAAGGGTATGAAAATATAAGATATAAATGAGCAAATACAACTCATAATCAGTTTTCTTCTGTTCTTTCAGTTCAGATCAACTAGGAATGCCAGCTGACAAACTTGGCAGTGTAAATTAAGAAAAAATGTCCACTCAGACTTACTTTTGGGATCTTAATTTTCTAAGGTTTTGCAAACTGAGTCACTATCATCATCATAGTGTGCTTATTTCTATACTATTGTTATTCCTACTGGTTTGGTTCTTTCCCCCTCTAGTGTCAGGCTGCAATATAGGAACCAAATAAAGCCAGAATCTGCGTAGCAGCCCAGAAATTATGCCTTGCCACAGGAAAAAAGGAACCTGAATATGTACATTTGGAAGTTAACAGAAGATTTATGGTTTTTGTGTGAGTTCTGAATCTGGAAGAGGGAGTTCAGCATGGCTTACCACATTGGAAATTAAATTTGGCTTCCAGGTAAAAAGACATCATATGCAATGTGCTGAAACAACAATACTACCAGATGGCTTTTTATGACAAGATGACGAAGCACACTCTCTAGTCTTAACTTCTCTTGTTACTTTTCTAATGCTCTTCTGATTAAAAAATAAACAAAACCTGAGTTCATAAACTTTAGGAATAAAAAATGCAGAATGCAAGAACTTCTTGAGAGTAGCTGAACGTGGAAGTTGACTGTTCTTCCAAGGTCCTGCTTTTCCAGTGCTCCCTGCAAATGTAGAACATAAGAGTGCATCTGGTCTCAAAGCTAGGGAATGACTTTTCAAAAATATATTTTGAATCCAGGATTGGATATGATCTCCTTGATAATTCCTTCACTTGTCCTTCTTCCTCAGTGTGACTGACCCAATAGGATCCAGCTTTTCCCAAAGAAAATCTGAGCCATTCTGGAAGGGTTAGATACCAAAATGACATCCTGGTTTACAATCAACATAATAATCACTTTTCATGTATTACTTGGAGCAAATCAAAGGATTCAGTGTCTCTGAATGCTTTACCTATTTTCTTACAGCCCCTAACAACACAGACAAATAGATAATACAAAAAATAACTGACAGAGTTTAGCTCACTTTCCTCACTGGTTTTCAAAAGCCAGAAAAAATACCAGTGTGATCAGAAGTATAATTTACATCAACACAAACAAGCTGTTTCTTAATTTAGTAATAAAATAAGTTGAAAGATATCTTGACTGATCTTGTGATTCTCAAGCTTCTGATTGAGAATGATTTTTGAACTAGTTTTTTGGGTAGAAATGCCTCTATACAGAACTAGTTGACAAAGTGGAAGCAAAGATCTGGTGATTCATTCTTTCACATGCTAAGCATTTCAGCCTGAGCAGTTTGTACAAGGAAATACTGAATTATTTTAATTTTTTATACTCCCTGAATGACTTTTAAACTCTGTACTGCAGAGAACAATTAAGGGAATTATTTTAGAACCATATTAAGTATATATAAGAGAACCACTGCATTTCTTCAGGCATGACACTGCCATCTGTCAATTTTTTACTTCTGACTTCGTTCTCACTCCAAATTTAAACGAATTATTTTGACTTCCTGATTTATGTTCACATAGGTGAAAACATGAAGCGTTTTCAGATAAATATTATGAAGAATGCAAAGATTTCAACAATATTTTTCTCAGACAGATTCTGCAGGAAGAAAAAAAGTTTTCTTGCATTCTACAATTTTTGTTTTGGAGGTAGACCTTGTTTCTGTTCTTTATCTGTATAAATGCATTTGAGTAAATCCACTGTTGGTGCACAAATACAAATGTTTGTTTAGTTCACTGTTTCTGTCAAATGAAGCACTGCAGATGCCCCTTAAAATGAACACAAGGTAACCTTTAGAAATCTCAGGTTCCGTTCCTGAGCTTTTCCTCAAGGAAAAGTGATAAGGAATCCTCATTTCTATTGTGGTGGTATCAAACCAGGGCATGGATAGTAACCACTATAAATACTCAGTTTACTTTGCTCATCCTATAGGTGAGGTTTCAAAGCAAACATTGCAGGAAGTGAAAATATTTAGAAAAAAATATGAGAAAAAGATTGTTTAACATTGTTTAAAGTAACAATAAAAGTGATTAACATGAAATAACATAAAATCAGCACTTTGTTGTGGTTATTTAAAATTCACTTTGAAAAGACAAACAAATTCTGTAGAGAGCTACCAAATATGCTATATGTAACACGGCATTCCCAGATGTTCATCTTCTCGGCATTCATATTCAGCAGCTGCACGTTTGCAGCAACATTTATAAGATCTTAACATTTTATTATGTTGAAGTGGTCTCAGTTTATACTACTGACATAAAATACTTGCATCCCATGATTGATCAAACCAGGTAAATATATATTACATTATATACTTACACTGTTACACATGTGAACCTCATTAGTACCCTTCAAAGCCTCTTAAAAACTGCAGGAGTGACAGAGGGAGATTGAGTTAGTGCATGTCCATCTTCAAAGAAAGAGAAACTCAATACAAGGTTATGCCATTTTCTTCTTGGAGCTCTCTGGAAAGCTGCAGTGCCCAGGAAGTAATGAAATGCCTAAGCCAAAACCTGGTTAGCTCCAGGGTTTCACTAATGCAGGTCCAGACTATGTACAGAGCCCTGGCAGATTCAACATAAATGAGAGCAGACCCCTTGGCCTTTGTTATCTGGGTCATATCCTGAGCCTCCCAGAAGCTACAGTGCTGTAACACAGCAGAGGATGTGTATCTTCTTCTGAAATTAACTATATAGAAGATTGGAAATGTGTTGAAATAAAAGATGATATGATCTACAATGCCTGGCATCAATTAATCCCAGAAATATCTGTATGGAATCTAGCACTCTAGAGCTACTTCTTTAAGAAATCCTCACCAAAAAAGAAAAAATATACTTGGATGTTTTATTCTGGTTGCAGATAATAAACAAATTCTATTTACCATATGAGCATTGAACCAAACCCAACTAGATATCACACGAATTGACTGGAGTGAGATGTGCATGAGAAATGCCATGCTTAGCAATGCTTTACAAGTGTTTTACAAGTGGCTTAGAGAGGATTCAAGACCAGGATAAATGTGGGCCTCTGATTTTATCTTCAGTGTAGTAAATGCTTGGGTTGTTTCAAATTAATCTTGAAGTTATATGAAGAGAGATTATTAAAAGAAGGAACTTTGGTTGCCTGTGGCCAACAAAAATTTCTTGAAGCAATAAATGCTTTCACAAAGCCTTATAGACTTAGAGAAGCAGCCCTCCAGCACATGAGAGGCCATCAAAAGCTGGAGCCAGGCTTTTGTCAGTGTGGTTGTGAGAGGAAGAGAGATAATGACAAAAAGAAAAGTTCAGGCTGGACATTAGGGAAAACCTTTTTGTCACGATGACAGTCAAACATTAGAATGAATTGCTTAGAAAAGTTATGTGTTCTCCACTCTTGGAGGTTTTCAAGACCACGTTGAACAAGGCCCTCAGCAGCTTGGTTTGATCTTGTAGCTCATGCACTTTTGAGGAAGAGGTGGGATTAAAGACCTGCTGAGATAATTTCCAACCTGAATTTTCCTCTGAACCCAAAAGGCAATTTTTGAAGAGAAGAGCAGTTTTTTAAAAAAGTGAATGCTATACATCTTACAACTACTATTTACTAAATGAGCAATCTTTGCTTTCCACACAATCTTATGAGAATTTTCAAAATATGCAAGAAAGAGTTTCTATTTATTTATATGGTTTTATATATTTATATAGTTTTCTATCACTGGATGCACTTTTCTCCAAGATCTTAAGGGCCTGGTATAATCTTAATCTTAGACCATTTTGCCAGTCAGTGATTGAAATTCTCACAAAATTTACAATAGTGTAAAAAAAAGGCTAGAGAACTTTGAAACAGAAGAACAAGGAATTATTTTATCTCTGAGTGAGATGTGTGGCAAACTGGGACCAGAACACTGAATCATCAAGTAGTAGCAGCATCATATAACTCATGTGAAGATAACACTGATATCCTTCTTTTAACCAGTTACTTGAAGCTATTGGAAATGCTCCAATGTTCAAAGGAAGGAGATATTGGACCAGTGATTCCCTTTCAGCCACCTTCAAACAAATTCACCACAATGAGTATTTCACTGGAAACAAAAAAAAGACAATTGCTTGACCCAGCAACATTTTGGAACCTGTGGCTCTTTTCCAGCTAGCAGTGTTGAATGGAAGCAGGAATGTGGCCCTGCTCTCCTCAACGAAGCTGTATGAACAGTAATACAGTGCATATTTAATACAGTGTTTATATATAACAGAGAGAGAAGAAGAAAAATAATGACAGACAGATAAAAAGAAAAACATTTTAATATAATCTCCAACAAAGCAGACATATAAAAGGGAGAAGTCCTGTGGATTTTTCCATTTCTGACCAAATCCTTGAACTCTTCTCAAAGCAAGAGTAGATCTGACTTTTATCTCAGTTTACATATATTAAATTCTGCTAAAGCTTACCAATTTATATGGTATCTATATTGACTTTTACAGAAAATTAAAATGCAAAAAAGGGTACAACTTTAATATTTTAAAATTGATTGCATATTAATTGTCAATTTTACAAACATATCTTCTGTAGGTTTGAACACAGCCATTCACCATGTACTGCTGTGTAATTATGAATTTGACAAAGAATTAAGTATCAGCATACATATAAAGAAATATACATCCTTGAGAATATCTGACTTCTGCCAATATATTGTTTTATTTTTATGTGAACAACCCATATGCTTCTAAGTGCATGACTATAGGATTATCACTAGCATGAAAAGTGACAGCTTCAATGTAGTATCTCAGAGAAAGACTGTACTTTGCATTGCATTTTTGATTTTAATTTGATGTGTAAAACAAATTGTTTCATAACTGGATATTATGCAATAAAATAGTATCAAGTCAATAGTGAAATTACAGTATATATAAGACATAAATGCATTTAAAATTTCATCTTGGTATTTCAGAAGTGTTGGCCTTGTTCTGTTTAAAGCCTATTATGTGTAGTTGTTTCTTCTGAAACGTGTATATTTTGGGAGAGTGTGCATTTTGCATAACATTTAATCCATTCTGCACAACATTTAATCCATTGAAATAAAAAGAAAATAGTTGGAAATTTTGAACTCTAGAATTACTTTCTAAAATGAATTTGTTTTTAGATTACAATGCAATCGCTGTATTCTAATAATCTGATATGAAAATTGTTATTCCTTGAGGGGGAAAAATCTCAAATGAAATTTTATGGAACTTTATGACCCAGAAAACTACTGTTATTGAATGGATATCTCTTGATGGTCAATAGGTATAATTAACAAAGCCTTGTGTAAATCGATGCAAAAAACTCCTATCAGTAGTGACAAGCCTTTCCTAGATTAAGGATGTATAAAAGCATTAATACATGAGATAATTTTAAAATTTAGAAATGCACAATGAATATCTCATAAACAAACATGTTTGGCAAACTCCTGATTAGCTGTTTCAATTTTGTTAATCTTAATGCAGGGTGAAGATACTGAGTGCAAAACTCAAATATGTATTGTCAGAGAAATGGATTTTGCTGTCAAAGAAAATTTACATACCCTTACCAATTAAACCTGTACATCTGAAGTACTTACTTGTACCTGTTTCTAAACAGAAGAAGAAGGCAAAGAATAAAGGTCTTTCACTGTTTCTAAAAGGAAATAGTGGACTGTTACAAGAATTTCATTTGTTCCCCAAGCCTGAAAGGAGATAAAGAAATACATTAGACTACATTTCAGGTTGCATTGTCAGTTTTAAATCAATCTTCAGAAACATAAAACAGAAGAAAGAAAAAAAAGCCTTTAATTTAAATCTTTTAAGACACAAAAATCATTCATCTACTTTTCTGCATTTCCATTTCACTATCCAACACTGAACATGGCATCAAAAGCATGTTTGCCGAGTAGCCCCTTTTCTAAAAAGCTTTCCAGTGTAGTTATTACAATGCTCTAACAATCCCAGCAAGGCCCTGTGAATGTACCTGCTTTAATTCCTCTCTGTTTAGAAAGCAAATGGTAATAACCCACAATCCCTGAAGTAATCTTTACTGAGACCTCTCATTCCCACCCCTCCATTACTGTCACTAAGGATATTGAACATTCCCATGCTTTCTATTTATGAAATTTATTTTCCACTCTGTTGGCTTCTGCACACATTTATTCTTTTTTTTTCCTTCCCCTCTAATGTATAATAGGGCCCTCAGTTTGCTTCTGAGATGCTAATATAACAGTTTGAAAGGGTCAGGATCAATAAAGGAAAGAGCAGTAAGGATGTTGACAGCTTTTAAGCCCAGCAGACTTTGGCTTGGCTGACCCCATGCTTCCTCATGTTGTTTCCTGCAGGCACTGTGTGTGTAAGAGTCATGCAGAGGGCAAATACATTTGCATGCAAATGCAGAAAGGGTTGTTGAACGTCTTAGTTGAAGAGTGTTTGGTAATGAGGCAACAGAGCACAGAACCGGTACTCAGCACACTTAGAGTCTGTGTGAAAGTGTCTGACTCAGCTTAATGGCTCTGGACAAAAAAATTCTCTTTGGTTTTATTTTTTATATGGTTGAAATTTCTTGAGGAAAATTATGTGACTGATGACACATAGTGTTATTCCCTCAAAGTTTGAAGTGAGACTACACTCTTCTACTCTTCCTCTCTACCTAACTCTACATCTGAAAGTTTTTCTTTGTGGGAGAGGGAATGGGGACATCATAGCCCCCATCCCTGTCCCCTAAAAGAAACCCTCTAGTTCTCTTCTTCCATCCTGATAAATTTACAAACTTTGTTTAGTCAATGGTTCCTGCTATCAGTGGCTCCATCCCGTAAATCTGGGAGGTTTTCCCTTTCCTCACAAGGAAGAAAAGCCTTCTCTTATGTGCTAGGTTGACTCCAAATCCTTCTCAGAACTTGCTGCTGAGTTACCTCTTGCCTATGGCACATCAGCATCAGGTCCCTACACGTTTGTTGAACTGACATAGCCACTTTACTTTTTTATTCTCTTGCTTCTGCTTAGCAATTTGTTGAGTCATCCAGCCCTGCACTGCCAGGATGATCAAATGTTACTCCACTCTTTTTTCAACTGCTTAGTTGTCTGACTGAATTTCAGAACTTTAAAAGTGTTGACTGTCCTTTCTTCTGTAAGAATACCTTTTATGACTTGGGGTCTAAACAGTTGTCAATGTTGATAATGTCTAGTCCCTTCTGAAACTGATGGTTGATGCCAGGTGATAGCCACTGAAAACAATGTGGATGGAAAAGGCATTTGAGAGAGACATTCTTGTTATGGTGTGATTTAGGAGATGATCATAGGATAAGATGTGCTCTTGTTAATTACATTATTCTACGTCACAGATTGAGTCAGGTTTGGACCTTCTGAAGGCCCGAAATGTTTGTTGTGAGACATTTATCTCTAACCTTCTTCTGATGAGCTGCCTATAAATCCAGTTTAATTTCATTTGCAAAAGAAACCTGACAACAGCTTTTCTAAATAAAGACAAAAGGGATCCCAAAGCCTAAGTGTGCTAAGTGTTTGCTTTGGATAAGTGTAGGTAGGCTGTTTTTTCAGCCAGTGTGTGTTTACCTGACAGTTTTCTGATAAGCAGTGTGATACCAAAGCCCCACTTTGTGACAGTGCTAACACCATCTGCCAGGTGCAGATAGCTTGCTGAAAAATGCTGTCATCAGCACTGAAGTGCTGATGGAAAGTTATTGCTTCAGTAACCACTAACACTCTCATATTCTGTCTAATTGGTTGCTGCCACTGAAAACTATTCTTCAGGGAAAAAAAAAAGCACAAAAAGTTATTTTTCTTTATCATGATAAATTACTTTTAGGCTACCTTGCAGTGCCACTGTTGTTTATTTACTGCTTTCTGCTTCCTGCCAATTTTGCTTATCTACACTCTAGAGTGAACTTTATTACCTTCCTATGATTGCTCTCAGTACCTGATTTGATGACAAATACTCATAGAAATTTTCATTTATCCTTGACATAGTGAAATATCTGTTAAGGACATACTCTTTGCTAGTCACAGTGGGCCAGTCTGCCTCCTGAGGTAGGGATACAGTGTAATCATTCGAGTGATCTTTACTTGATTTCAACTTTTACAACTAAATTTTTACCAGATGAAAACCAGGACAGATAATGTAAAGAAAATCTATGCAGAAAAATTTGGATCATCAAGAAACCACATTCATTTGCTTAAGGGTAAAATAAAATACTATGCAGGTTGCACAGCCATGCATGCCCCAGACATTCACTGATGGTGGTTTAGCAAAACAGAGAGCCTTCACAGTTTTCCACTGCAGCATTGAGCTACTTAAGAAATACATGTGAAGACCCTCAAGTGTTTAAAACAGCTGAGCACATAATGTAATATAACTGAAGCCAGAATCAGTTCTCACTTGCCTAGTATAATATGGGCTAAAGCTATTTTGGCTTTAAAATGCTGTACAGGAGATTTTGGTTTGGCTTCTTATTTTTTGGCAGGATTTACCTTTCTTTTGCAGGATATTCTGTCTTGCTTTAATGAAAGCTAGGATGTCAGCATCAGCCTGGCTGTCTCCAGTCAGAGGAATAGATGTGCTTGAACTTGGTGGGGCCCTGAAATAAGAAAGTGTGGACTCAATAAGAAAGTTAATTTTTCTTTCTCCTGTTTTTTCACCATCAAGGTTTTTATTCTTTAGATGCATTGTTAGATATGGCACAGTTTAGCAGAAAATTGATCTCAGGACTTCTTAATGGTTTTATGTAGGTTCCTAAGATTAGCCACTATCTCTTTAGTGTGGGAAGGCTACTTGCTTATCAGCTATAGACCTCTCACAAAGGGTTAAAAATGTTCTAGTGCTGAGTCAAAGACTTAATTCTAAGTGGAAAAGCTTAATGTAGTGAGTTTACCAAGGAAATGATGGATGTGACTATGCCATGTGTTTGCTTGCTTCAGGCTGCTATACATTTGAACAGATCAATAGAGTTTTTTGCCTACTGTGGGGAGTTTTCATACACACACAGAAGTAAACAATCATGTGGCATTCAGGACATCTCCTGACAGACACAAATCCTTTGTGCTACTGAGTCTCCAGTCCCAGCTGAACTCTTGTACCTGTGCTGTTAAATCATTGACTCACGACTGCTTTTGACAGATCCTCTGGTGGTAAGATGATATAATACAATGAAGCTATTCTAATCAGATGAGAAAGCTAAGAATTTCCACCTGCATCTTTAACCTTATTTAAAGATTAAGCACTAATTGGGAGATGAGAAATGGAGCGACAAAAAATTACAATACAGGACACGTGGAACTGAAGGGAAAAACTTTTTTTTTACATATCCTACCTCTGTAATTGTGGTTATTTTCACTGTTCCTTACTGACTGTAGCAGTAGGTGGTTTGTGTGGCTGACATATACAGCAGTCTAATATCTTTGTCTTCATGCTACTAATTAAGTTCTCAGTTGCTGAATCAGTGAACCAAAATGGAAAAACAAAGAAGAAATTACTCTGAATTTAAAACTCCCCTATTTTAATGTAATTTGCAAGGTGATCACAGAACACCAATAAGGGACTATTGTTGATGGATTTTTATTTATTTAGCAACAATATAAAAAATAAAAACCCACAGTATATTGAGAAGGTACTCTCTAAATTCCATTTTAGCTCCTATTTTTCTTCTGCTTTTCTTAAACCCAAATGCAATTTAAACATTTGGTTTTGGGGGATGAAATTTTCCACAGTTTTTTTCTGCTCTAGAAATGGATTGTTTTGGAAAATGAAAGAAAAAACCCCTTGTGCTTTCTTCTTGCTAATGCAGTAGGAAAAATAGTAACTTGACCATATTTTCCTAAGGGCTTTAATAGCCAGAACTGTTGAGCACAATAAGTATATAACTTCTGGAAGTAGAGTGACTTGGCAGAATGTTTCAGTGGGAGAAAAGAATGTGCAAATAGACACACTAGAAAAAATAGAGAGGCTCAAAACCCTACTAGTTTCTGTTAACCTGCTAAGCTAATATTCACAAAGCAGTAGCTCCTTTGAGAAAACATGACATATAACCTTTGCCAAGCCTGAAGCTGTTGCCATTTTGTTTTAATAGAATAATTTGTGGGAGGGAGATTAAAAATATTTTAAAGACAAAATCACAAGTATGAAAAAGTCTGTGACTTGTTCCTGCATTCTACAATTCTGCAATACATACACACTCTGATTTCTCTTATTTTCAAATGTTTTTATTTACTCTTTCAGACTCTCTGAGAAGGCTGGAAGGACACAGTCATGAATATTCAAAAGCTTATAGAGAAAAAGCCTCAGGCCAAACACAAAACCACCTTTGTAATACTGATGATGCAGCAGATTGTTGCAAAGCTATGTGGAAGCCTGCAGTTGGTTTGGAAGTTGGAGGAAAATCTGCAATTTAAAAAAAATATTTTATTTCTGTATTTCAAGGATTCTGTTTTTAAATAGACTGATGGAGGATTGTGAAGGCACTACATTATTTTGTACTTTGTTTTTTCCTCTGAGTAGCCAAAGTGTAGTTCTTACCTTGTTTTTAAAGTTGGGTTACCAGGAGTGATTGAATTGTTCACAGCTGGATCTTCATAAGGGCTGTCTCTATCCGTGTCTGAAAAACTGGAATGGGAAATGAAAAAATGAAGGAAAATGAAGGACATAAAGAAAAGAATATAGTTTGTGCAGGCAATATTAATACACACACTAATTAACTACAAAGAAATTTTTTCAAGATTTTTTCAAATCTATATAAACACTTGTTTACTGAAAGAAGGTTTTCAGTTTAATCCATATGTTGATTATGTTTATGTAAAGAATGTGGCTATGAAGGAGTGACAAGTAACTTCATAAAAATATATTTTAGTATTTGCCTTCTAACCCAGATTTGTAAAGCACTTTGATTATCCGATGTACAGTTTGTAATGGTATATTTAGCTCCTAAACTGACTATTTGCCAAGTGAGGCCTTTGCTCATTTTCCATTATTTCTTTAGTCAGGCAAAATTATTACCAAAATCAGTGAGAGACTGGATATAAACTCAGTGAAGACTTTGGGATGGGGCTTGTTGATGATAGCCAAATATATTGCAAACAGCTGCTGTGCATTCCTGCCTCTGCAGATATCATCACAATGGAAGCTCACTGTTGAGGAGGCAGTTTTCTGCCACTGGATATCTAGAGACTCTGCTTTTCCTGGGGGTTGCATATACTGCCAGATCTGGTGCCAATCTTAGAGTGGAAAAAGTAAATTACTCAGTGTAAGGATTTTTCCAGTAGATGGCAGGATTGGCAAGTTCTTGCTCTACTAACTCTGCAGTAGTTTGTTCATTGTTGGCTGATGAATTGATATTTCTGGCAGAGAACTTGAAAAGGGAAAGAAATTTATTACTAAAATTTTACTGTGTTACACTGTGCCAGGTTAAGTTTTGCGGAAGATATTGTGCCCAGGAGTATAAGTCATTTTCAGTTGAACAGCTCCAGGTTTGCTGAATGATTCTCTTTAACTCCTCGAGTCCCACACCATTCACACCTGCCTAATTCAACTAAAGCAATATCTTATTTAATGTTAATAATATTCTGTACTTTATTGCACCTACATATTACAAGAGCTAGAAAGGATGTGTGACGTTATTACCTACTATGTGGTTTAACAATATCTGAGAATTTCATATCATCATTCAGCTTTAGGATTTCCTGAACATTTTTTCCACTGATTTGGCAGTTCTTAAAAACGAAATAATTTAGTGTTTTAAATTCAGTTTTCTAAAAGACCTCTGTGTCTGTGCCCTGAGATACTGAGGCATCCAAGTCACATAACCACGGTTTAATAAACCACTCCACATCAACTGAACCATAGCAACCATCCCTGACTCTATTCTTAGCCTACAACAAACATAAAGTAATATGACTTAATGTGATTCTTTTTCATTGCTTTCTTTGCACTGAAATAAGTGTCTTTGCTTTCTCTTTGCCCTGCACAAAATGTAAAATTTTACAAATACTGTGAGTCAGCTGAAATATTTTATTTTTAAGTTGCAGTAGTTTATACATATGAACCACTTTTTTCCCATTGAAGTAATAATAAAAAAACACTACCCAAAATTGTTAAATCCCCATTCGAAAGGGGATTTTGATTCAGACTAATTAAAAAAAAACCTATATAGTACAGTTGTGGCACAGCTGGAACTCTAGGGATGTCACTTTCAAGTACACTCCTGGACCCGAGGACAATATGGCAAAACTTGCCTTAGGGTGCTCTGGGAGAATTTGGCAGCCATGGAAAGCAATAGTCAAAAACCCTCTTAGACTGAAGGAAATGATGCCCAGAATCAGGAAATTGACATTACTGTGCTTAGAGATGGACCTTAACCTCCTATCCTGTGCCTGTGGGGTGACAAGGAGACATTATTATTGTGGGATGCAAACTGTTCTGCAAGTTAAGGAAATTTATAAGGAAGCTTACAACTATTTTTTGAAATGACTCAAAGTTCTTCTTCCATGTTAGACGTTAACAAATAGTGTACTAATCTAAAAAATGAGTCCCTCAGTTTGGCACAACTCAAATCTATCTTTTTTATATCCTAGAGATTTCTCTAATTCCTATACTAGGGGGGTGGTCTGTATGGGGATAACTTGCATCCTTCATACTGAGGGTCTGATAATGGCATTGAAAGATAAGTTGAATCACAAGGGGACAAAAGAGTGTAATTTTGCTGTGCAGTGGTTTGCATGCCCAGATGCAACTTGTTCCTAGCCTGTTCTTAGATATCAGGACATTCCTTATTCATTCGTGTGTTAGATGCTGTTCTAGTAATGTAAAAAATTCAAAAATGTTCTAGTAATCTAGATTTAATGGAAAATCATTATGCCAACATGGGGTGGGGATTATGATACTCCTCTCTGTGTGACCAGCATGAAGGACTGGACATCTCAGGATGCTCCAACAAAGCCAAACAAAACCATGCCTGACACACTTTAGTGTGATCAAAGTCTTTTTCAAGCAAGAGGTTGATCCAGAGATCTCTAGAGGTGCCATTCAACATTTCTGTAATGTGCAAACAGGCATTCCTGAATCACATTTTGGATTTGGGTGGATGTACAAGGTGTGTAAATCCTATCTCTTTGTCTGTTGCCTAAGCTTTAACCTCTAACATTATTCAGCTTGTTTTGACAGTGTATAATTCCCATTTTCATTTGAATCTATCTGATTTTTCCTTGAATTTAAGAAATCTCAAATAACTGTTTCCTGGCAACTTCAGTAAAATTCCTACTTTTTTTTTGAGATTAAAGATAGTCTGTCAACTTTGTCTGTTTGTTTTTATAACCTAGTACCTGAAGTTTCATCCAGTGGATAACTTTAATTTTTGGGGGGGTTTGAGGGAGGAGAATCCTCTGTTGAGGGTGTTTCTCAGTCAGGCATGGGGCAGCAGTCACAGAGATTACACAGGGTTGCAGCAGCGTTTCCCTTGCTGAAGGAGCCCAAAGACCAGAGACAACAGATCCATGGACTGATCAGCTCCATCAAGTACACGGGGTGGAAGAGCTACAGAGATGGTACATGTCATGGTATGAGTGCTTAACTTGCCAGCTGAAAAATAATGGAAAATCAGATAGATTTAAATGGATAGTGAAAATTTGAAAGTGTGCAACCTCTGTAATGTTAAGAAAACCTCAGCTGTCCAATTGTCTGAGTTTTGGACATGAGGGGAGCAGATGTTCAGTGTACAGACAGGAAAGACTCAAGCTGCTTGAAAGCTGAACATTTTAGTAGCTGGCTACAAAATTAAATTTGGCCTAACTTGCAAATTCATAGATAAATTGTTCCAGTTGTTACCAAAGAATGTGAAAACCTTTGAAATGTCACTAATTGATGATGTTATTCCTAGATTATGTTTTTATTGTTATGTAACACTGCAGAAAATTGGCAGGTATAAAAAATAATTAGACAGAAAATGCTGTAAAATATGTAAACATTGACCTTGTTTCACACAACATTGATAGAAGGAGTAACTGTTGCAATTCAGGACAATAATTGCTAAAAAAATCTGATGCTCAAAGTCATCAGACAACGTGGAGAGTTATTTGAAATTGTCTCCAAGGGAATTTAAAGTGCCAGGAAGGTTTTGAATAAGAACAGCTGAGGAGTCTGAGGTTGAACATACTGTGGGGCTTGCTGGAATAGGACAAATGAGATGCAGTAAAAGGAAATGAGTGAGGTTAAGAAAGATTTGACTGAGATAAAAAGGAATGCATTCCTTCTGAGAGGAGGAAAAAAATCCAAAATTTTTATAAGATTTGAATAACTATCTAACATTTATATGATTCAAAGAGAAAAAGAACCATTCAACACTATTGAAACTAAATGTTCAGTGAGAGAAGCAATTTGAATAGACAAGGATCTGATAAATTCCTCAAATGAAAGCCATTGTGGGACAGACCATATGAGGAACTACAAAAGGCTGTGCTTGAATTCTGAAAGTGTGGAAGGAGCACACATGGAGTGCTGAGCCCAACATGCATTTTCAGACTTCTGGCAGACTTGACAGGAATCCATTAAGAGACATAAACATATATACACTATGAGCTGCAGGTAGCACCACAACCTTTCAGACCTCACTGACTGAGGCAGAAATGGTCACTATTCAACTCTTTTATTAACATAGACTAATTTCAACATTTTAACAATTCAGCCATTTTTTCAACTGAAAAAAGAGACATATTTGACCATTAATCAAATGTCTTTTAGGTGTGTATATCCTTAAGCTTCAAAGGGATTACCAGCCTCCCTTCTCTGCTATTTTAGTTATAAATTAACTTAGTATAAAATATAATTTGAGCCTTCTCAAGGCTTAATATGGAATGCACACATAGGAATATGCCTGTTTCTTTTGCATGCTGAGTTCTATAATTTATTATTTCTAGCTTGAAGACTGTATTTCCATCCATTCCCATTCAGGAGTTTGTCTGAATGGTTTTACTGCATACTTACTCTGTCAACAGCAGTCTTAGAATTTAGCCTGCTAAGTTTTAGATCTTACATCTATTGGACACACCTGTTAACTGAATTCCATCTTGGAAACAGGTTTTATTTACACCACATTATATAAAACATAATTCATGACAGCTTTTGTTTTGGTGGCTGGTTATTCTGCTGGGTGAAGACAGCAATATCATTCCAAAGAAAGAGATGGTTGATTTTTAGACAAGTTGGGAAAAAAGAGCAATTTGTGTATCAGGACTATGTGAAAAAAGCACCTGTAGCCTGGACTAATTCTACACAATTATGGGAAGCAGTAAATAAAGTTCCTGTGTCAACTGGGGCCAAGGAAATCCTTGGGAAATAAATATTCTACTATTTCATTCTTTTAAAGTCTGTGAAATTTGAAACTGTTACTCTAAAATGTTATTGACTCAGGTAGGGGAAAAAGTAAATTTTCATGCACAGTGGGATGTTAAGCCTGTAGCTCCTGCCTCAGAAAAAGTAGAAATAGTGTTTCTACTTCCATATACATGCCACTGGAAATGTACTTGAGTAAAATATGTTTAAACAGCCTAACATACAATAAGATCAACTTTCTAGAACCATAGGAAGGAAAGAGTGATGGACTTTTAAAGATTATTGCAAGAATATTGTTAGAGATGGGAAAATAAAACTACATTAATCCCAACTCCCTCTACAATTTTAGTTCCAGAAGATAAATATTCTGTGTCTGTGATATTTCTGCAAGGATCATCCAGTCAGCCTCAGTCAATATGCCCATTACTTAGAGAAACAGTTCACTCTAAAGAACATCTGCTTTTTGCAGGAAATCATCTGGGGCAGTACAGGACTCTGAAGTAAGCTTGGAAGCTCAAAGCAACCACGCACCTTTCCCCATCCTAGTCAAAATGCCAGATGGACCTTTCTTAGACCTGTCCTCCAGTAAGAAACATGAACAGTAAAGGTGTTTGATAGAAAAGCTTAAAAGAACAGAAAGAAACTAGTTATACAATTTTGTTTCTGAGCTAGGGTAGGGAAAGGAGGATTCACCACTGCTGGAGGCCAGTCCCTCATTGCACTGGAAAGTGCCTGGGCATTACCATATGTTCTTTTTAGTTCTAGATTTTTAAATTAGAATGCAAAATGTATTGCTCTCCTGAGCAATGTATCACCACATCAACCAAAATTTGTTGTTCCCAAGATCAGGGGAGCAGAGAGGTTGTGCAAGAGGTGCTTAGTTCAAAGGACAGTACAAAGTTAGAGAGAGTGACAGTCATGGATTGCTTGAGCTAATTTGGCTGAATTTGTGCTAAGCTAGACCAAAAATGTTCTCATATTCTGTTCCATCAGCTTTCCTCTGGGACAAGTAACATTCAGCCTGAGACCAGAAATGAACAGCACAGATTAGGCCTAAAACCTGGCAACCATTTGCAAAGTGATTAATGCCTAAGTCTTGAGAGGACACAGAATGTAGAGAAGACTGGAGTTGGTTTTCATCAGTTTGAGAGACCTGAAAATGTCTTAGAAAACTTTAGAGGACTATGTCTATAATTTTCTTTACTGATTATGGAGCATTTACTACAGATACATGAGAGTGTAAAATAAAACTTAGAATCAATTTTACAGTTTTAAGAAAATTCAGTATTCACTCTTTAATGGCATGTAGGAGATACTATGTTCGCTGAAAAGCAGGAAACATTTATGTAGACTACTGTCATAAAAATATAGGTAAAGCCACTCATCAGAGAAATGTTAATTGTATAATGAGAGGAGGAGAGAGAGGCAGAAAAAGAGAGCAAGAGAAAGGTGGGGAGGGAAAGAAGAGGAGGGAGGGAGAAAGAAGGAAGGAAGGGGAGAGAACACCTCCATTTATTGTCCTTGAATATGGAAACCTACACAGCCAGGTATGTGGTTTCTTGCACTCTACTTTCCCTGATTGTTATGAAAAGCTATTATTGCAAATCTAAATTAGAGGTTTTGAAATCAGAGGTGTCTGTTGATGAAACAACCAAGATGATTACATTTTTTTCCTGTTGATGACACATCAGCATCTTACAATATCAAATATAATATCATTGTGGCAAAATATGCTGCAAAAATGTAGTACCCTGACATTTTTCAGTAGCAAGTCTATCTAGGATGTATATGAAATAATTAATCTTTTCTGGTTTGAAGTCCCCTGCATATATCCCAAAGGTGATATAGTCTCCTCATACATCAACACTGACTGATAACAGGCTTGCCTTTCTTAGCTTGTTATGGGGCCCCTAGAGAAAGGTTTCCAAGGTTCCAAGACCAATAAGTCAAAAGAACTGAGGTCCTACCTTCAATAGGACTTCCAAATAACGGAATGTTAAAACTTCATTTTTTATACAATCATTTCTGTCGTAACTGAAAATACAGTGTTTCAGTGTGATATTTGCAAAAGCATTCTGGACAACTGCACTTATACTAAAACTGTATTTTTTCCCATGTACGGAAGGAAGAGAAAAATAAACAATTTACCTGTTAGGTGATAGATGCTGTGAGGATCTGATAAACTGTGGATAAACAGTGGCAGTATTTGGTGAAGTAACCATCTCTGGCTTTTTCTGCTGGGTTTAGATTGAAAAACAAAATTATGAGGATAGGACTTTTTTAAAGTGCTTCATATTGGCCTATACATTTCAACAATAGCAAGGTAAGCAATGGCTTATTCAGAAAAGACAGAGTCTGAATCATGCAGTATTTTCTCCACTTGCACAAACACTTCTGAACAAAGAGAAAAATGTTTAGGATTGGTTCAAGTATTTTTAAGCTCAAGTTACAGGCTTTTAATATGTAACAGCATATGTTCACTGATTTCAGTTTCTTTGGGAGCTCAGATGTATAGATAGGTCAAGATCTAAGGAATCAATCCCAATTATGTCTTCCAGTTTTCTAATTTTCTACTGATGAATCAAGAGAAGTTGAATTCTGGAACTCTCCTGTTAAGTGATAGAGAAAAATGTGCTGCAGTGGATTCAAGAATATTACTTGCAGTGCTTTGAAAAGCCTAAATATTTAGATAGGAAGATGACTAAAACATCATCCCTTTTGCCACTAATATGGTTAGGGATTTTAACTGGAAAAGTATTTGACAATGCTAACTTGCAATTAAGCTACTTAGGTGCCACTGTATGGATAACTAAGTTCCCCATGTAAAGTTCTGTATTTATTTTAGGCTGTTTTCTTTAATTACACTATATTATTATTCTATAATTATGGTTTAAATTTATACTCATGAGAATGAATGAAAATATAGGCTAAAACTTCCTTTGTTTATAACAACTTTTCCTCAAGGAGTAAATCTTATCTTCCAGTTAACAATAAATGATAAGGGATAGACTACACTCAGCATTCTTTTTCACAAGGCTGATGTACGTTTCATGGCAGAGCTGTGTTGTGAGTTGCTGTGTCACACTTGCAAGTCATTAAAAAAGTATTAGAAGGGGAGCACAAGAAAGTTAGATTGTTTCAGTATTTTTCAGACTGACTGTGTTATGAACTTCTAATACACTTGTTAAAATGACAGCTCTTTAGTTCATTTTTACACAAATCATTGCATTAGAGCACTCTGTGCCTAAACACTGCAGGACTTCAGCTAGAGAGTGAGGAAACACTCTGTACTGGGAGCTGCTGATCCTCTGGGAGCCTAGGGAAGCTGAAAGGTTACTGGAGTCTTTGCAAGCAAAGGCAGCTAAAAAGTAACTATATTTGCTGCAGAAAACATGATGAAATCATGGTTTTGCAAGCAGTAAAAAAGATTATTTTTTGCAATTTGATAATGCTCTTTCATAGTTGTTGGCATTTTGGGCCCATTCTTCCCTATTAATCAAGTTGTCTGGGAGAACATCAAAACAGAAAATAGAGAAGGAAAAAATGTGTTTGTTTGATTTTTTTTCAGCTTCACATAAGTATAATTCACAATACCTTTGTCCAATTTACATTGGCATAAGCTCAGGTGAACCAGACCCTGAATCTCATCCTTCATACTCCTTTCCATCTAGTCAATTAACTACTTCTTTAAGAAATTATTGAAGATGTTATATTTACATGAAAATAGAAGAAATACAAAACGATTTCATACCTGAAATTTTTTTGCCTCTTCAGACCACCAGACTTCAAAGTCTTTTTGCAGCTTCATCTTCACTTTTTCCATAAGAAGCTGCAGGTGCTCAATCTCTACCTTCAGCCCTTTGAAGCGACTGTACACTATTTTATAACTAATATGAGAAGAAGAAAGTGTATTACAGATTTTCCAACATATATGTGAACAAAGGTTATCTTACCTAGAACAGTTCGAGATTTAAACTACAAAATTATATGTAATAATCAGAGATGCAGACGACACAGACAGATGGTTGAAGGAAACATATTTTATAAAAGCTTCACAGGACTGTAAGTGCAAGACACTTCTTCCACAAACCTTTTATTTCATAAAGAAGTTAGTAAAATTCAAGTGGGATCGACGTTGATTAACGGTTAAAATACAGGTTCAATCAATTATGAAAATTTTTTCTTTTGTATTCTCAACATGTCACCATTAATAAATAACTGGTATCTTGGATTCAGCTAGGGGCTGAAATTGGTTCCCCTATCAGATGGAAACTTCATTACCTTCTTGCCTATGAGACACTTGGAGATTTACCAGGAGTATGAAAGAGTTAGAAGTTTCCTCAGAGATTGTGTGTAACATACATGCTAGCAAAATACCTCATACTGATATTCTTATATCTACTTTTTTTATCCTCCTGGCTACAGTGACAGTAGAGCAAGGATTGGTTAACCAATGCGTATTCTGCATATTATTTACACTTAGTGAGTCTTGTATAATCTAAAGGTTTTCTTCAGGTCAAGAAAGGCAGGACTTTTCTGAACCAACCCAAAAGGCTCACAATACATTTGGATTCAAACAAGTTACAAACACTAATCCTCAGGGAAGACATTAAGCTGTTTTTATTTATTTTTAACCTTTAGCTCCAGCATAAATTTTCCTCTCTCATCTACTGTGGCATCTGACTGACAAACAAACTGCATATACACAAATTTAAAAACTATTAGTGAGCCACAAAGCCCATATTTTTAAAATGTCAGAGAAAACCCTGAGGGTAGCTGCATGTGCAGAATTGTAACTGGAATATACTATCAGTATAATTTATCTTCTGAAGGATGGTAGAAATCTGAGGCAGAAGTAATACCTTTTTTTTTCTTCTTCAATTTGCATTCTGAGATTCTCTTCTGCTGGATCAAACGTTAGTTCTTCAGAAGAATTTGAAACAGCTATAGGAGAAATGATCAGATTTAAGCAATGACTATACGGTGTCCAAAGAAGCAACTTCTAATTAAAATAAAAACTAGCTTTTAAGAGGTAGTTAACAAAATGGGGTGTTGGAGTCCTGGTCACTAAGAGTTTTGGACTTTCTGTGCTGACAGGCATTTACCCCCAGGAGAACATTGCATTTGACCTGAGGCCATGGAGAAGGCTTCCAAAATTGAATGATAGAACTGGGATTACGGGTATGTAGTTTGAATAGAAGTGTGTAATCGCACATGGCGGAAAACTTAGAGTTTAAGGTTTTAAAATATAGTAATATATATATATAAAGCAAGATGGAGGTTTTAGGGCTGAGGCTAGTCCTTCTTCTTCACCTTCTTCTTCATGGGTCTAGGTGATCTTGTATAATTGGATAGAAAAGTCAGCATTGAGGGCCACGGGTGGTTGATTATTGGGTTAAAAGTAAAAATAATTTACTTGTCATTTCTTAATTGGACAGTTTATCCTTAAAAGGCCTTGGAGAGAGAGAGAGAAAGAGAGATACGGCTCCATTTTTAGTTTGTTAGTTTGAAGTGCTGTAGAACTCATGGTTTGTGAGACTGCAATACAGATAAGAACTAATAAACATCTGAGTCCGAGCAAGAAATACGGTCTCGTGCATTTAATCCCGACACTGGCAAAAAGAAGATAAAACTCAACAGTGGGGGTCATTAACCATTTCTCTCTTTTGGAAATGCTTCTTCAAATTCCTTATTTAGGCCTTACTTAGTAGAAGACATAGTCAATAACTAGTGATTTTAATCAAATTGCTTATAATTGGGTTTTTCCATAATTAAAGACTGGAACATTAATTTTAGATATAAATAAAGAAGCTAAACATTTAAATTTAGCATAAAACTCTATCAAATGCATTCAACCACTTTTTGCAATGGTTTTGGCAACAAAAACAAGACCAGAAACTTGCAAAAAGAAGAGACAGCAGTAGCTCTTGAAAGAGAGATGAACTTTGGAAAGCAATAAATTCAGATAATCAGTATAAATAAGGAAAATATACTGAAACTATATGAGAAAATTTTCAAGGTAAAAGAAAACTAAGGAAATAACAGTAGCCTAAGCTAGCCTACAAAAGCAGCTTATGACTTCCCTATCCTGTAGCAGAGTAGTTAACATGCAATGCACAATGTGCTTTGTTGTACGGCACTGTTTGTTTCATAAGTTGCACTGTTCACGGTTTTATACTGCACTTTATACTGTTATGTTTATATATTGCACTGAGGAAATGGTTTTCCCTGTATCCCCCCGGGGCTTGTGAAGTTGGTTCAGCCCTCCCTTAGCCCCTCCCCTCGGCGTGTCCCATTGGTCGCGGCTCTGCTCCTCCCCCCTCCCCCTCAGTTTAAAAGTGCCCGCCATCTTCCCTCTCTCTCTCCTTTCGCCATGCCGACAGAGTAAACTGTGGATCACCTTCCTATAGGAGAAAAGAGCCTTCTTTGGTTTTTTTTACCTTTGTCTATGAGGATTTCCCACCTCTCTCTGGTCCAGAGCTAGCCAGGCGACCAGGGAGGAAAAAGGGATTTACCTCAGTGCTTATTCTGAGAGATGGTGAAACAGTGTTTCCATCATGGTTTGTATGTTCAGTGGTGAAAAGAAATGTAAAGTTACCTACTAGTGTTACAACTGTTTCTGTTTCTGGGATGAATGAGAAGAGTTTTGGGTTCCCAAGAAAACATGTTGGACCTTTTTAACTCAAGAAGAATGAAAAAACCCCAAAGATTTCCTATACAATGCATGCAAGTTTCCAACCCAACTCTTATTTCTGCCAAGAAAATAAATTCTATGTCAGTCTGTCACAAGGCCTGAGGAGTGCACCCTTTCTGCAAGGAGAGGAATTCTGTCTGGAATAGGAGGGCAGTGATGACCCCTCTCTGCCTGTCAGCACACCAGCTGAAACCATTAATCTTTTGTAGTAGCACTCTGTAGCTTAATACAGATGAAGTTACAAAGCATTTTATTTCATTACTTAGCTCAAGCATGTTAATACAGACAGTCAAGGTGGACAAAGCCCACGCACGAGTCTCATTTAATTGAAAGGCCTTGCTGCACACGATTACAAAGAAGGACAGGGCTAATACATTTGTAGTGGGGAGGGTACCCTTAAAAGATAAAAATATAAGCTGCTTGAAATGTTAAAGTGAACAAACAAGACAGGAGGTGGAGGAGATGCTACAACAGTGACCTGATATAACAAGTTATACCTGAACATAACAGGTAATAAAAAGGTCATCATAACCATGCCAGAACCTTTAAGGAAAGGAGCAAACCTTTCCACAATTACAAGGGATGAGGATTTTCTGATTTCTCGCATTTCATCCCCAAGAGAAGACATAATGTGGGAAAGCACAGAGCTACAGATGGGAATTGTGTGGGAGACACTAATTGCAGAGCTCCTGAGGCTTCATGCTTTTCTGAACTTCATGAACACACAGCAGCCAGGCTTGAGGGAAACGTGCTCTTGTGGAACAAACTGAAATTATTTGGGAGTTACTGGCTCTCAAGTGAGCCATGGTCACAGACCATGTGAGAATCCTTATTATATTTCCATGAATATTCCATCCAGACCTAGTGTGAGCCAATTTCAGGTTAAAGGGGACTCTCCTGAGCACAGTGAAGTGCATTTGTCCTATTTGCAAAATCTGTGACCCTCATCGGGAGGCAGCAGCTCTAGCCCCTTATAAAGAAGGGAAATAATATGGGGTGGAAGAGAGTAACATCTTAAAATGTTAATGCTGTTTCTGAAGTGAGGACGTCCCTACATGAAAACATCACTAAATTCTGCTAGTTATTACAGAGTGATACAAGTCAGATTATAGCTTTCCTTCCTTGGTTTATTAGGACATCTAGTACTTGGAAAAGTATTTTTATATTAGCTCTGAAAGGTCAGCCAAACTTAAGCAAAATTTTGTCACTTGTATATAAAACCAGCAAAAGAATGTTTTTTTTCCTGCTGATTACATGCTGTAGAAGGGATTATTTGGTTGCACATTATTCTTCAGAAATAATAGTGAAGCATTTTGTATGAGATGAAAACCTTTATCATAAAAAGGCCTCAGCATCCTCACCCACAAATACAAGTCTGCCCGTTATCCCTAGCTGGTGATGAAAGGCAGAAGCACAGCTGTAGGCAAGGTGAGCAGCATAGTTTTGTGAATGGGAAGAGATGAGCATACTGCAAGCTGGTGTGGCCCCAGCAGCAGAAACAGCATCAGATAAATGGCTCAAACTTACACATCCCTGTGCACATCACTGAGCTTAGGTCACAAAAGCAGAAGAGATCTGATCACAGTGTCAGGTGAAGTCCAGTAGTAAGTCAAGTCCAGGGCATGCCTGCTGGGGCACTGCTTTGTAAGTTCTCCAGTGTCTTTTCCCAAGCTGCTGCAGTGTCCATTTCAGTTTCCTGTCATGCCTGCTCAATGCAGCAATGCGTTTGTGAACTGAATAACATTCTGCTCTAAAGACTAGACCTTTGGAATACACGTACTCTAATAGATAAAAAGGATCATGAATCTTTCCTAATGTTCCAAGCAAAAAGACATCTAAGGTCTGTTGGACTGTATTTCAACACTTCTGTTTCCTGCTACTTCTGCCTCCTTCTCTTTCCCTGCTGCTTCTATCCTCCCCTCTTCTCCTCTTTACCTTTCCTGATGAATCCCTGCAGTGGCCTCTTTCTGCCCTGGGCTTCTGTTGCCTCACACCCCTCTCCTCTTATCAGTCCAGGCAATTTCAGCTACAGCTGAAGAAATGAAGCTAAGGCAGAGGTTACTGGCTCACTGTATCTCGTATCTAATGTTAGCATTCTTCAGTACATAGGCTCAGTAATTTAAAAATAATGTAAGAGGGACGCTGAGTGAATAGACTGTAAAATAAAAAGCATAATATTTACTCACAAATTTAATTTAGACACCCGAGAAAAAAATACTTTATTTTGGCTACAGGTTTTTTTTGCTCTAAAGAGTTTATTTTTATTTTATATATCTGCCTTCCCGTGCAGAAACAGAAAATATATATTAACCACACATATACAAAGTATATGTTGATTAGAAAGTACTGAAAAAATCATGACATCAGCTTTTGCCCACATACATGAAAAAATCTGCAATACCTTAAAAGATGTAGTAGAGATGCTACTGCTAAAATATTAACCATCAGATACCATTCCTGCAACTGCACAGAATACAAAGTGGTATCTGCTTTGTTCAGTCGGGGTTGACTTTAAATTCATTGATTGACAGTTTGTCATATGAAACTCAGCTGTACAGTTTAGCTCTATGCTTTTAGTGCATCAGCTGAGATGATTTCATTCCGTTGGAGTGTAATACCACATGCACTTTTCGTGCCCCAGTGACTTCTCCTGGGCAACGAATGCAGTTGCTGCAATTTAATCCTGGATAATGCAGCCCCAGGTTTCAGGGGTGTGGGGAGGTATGACATACATGTTTAGGAAAACATTGGCTCTGTGTATACTAGGGGTTTCTGTTGGCATCTAGTTCTGCACAACAGAACTATTTTGGCAGCAGTCAGCAATGTACTGATAAGGAGTATTAGTTTCTTTACATTAACATAGCTGCACATAGAGCTGAGTGGCAAAAATTATGAATCCTAAGTTGTGAAGACTTTTTTAAGAATACTGTGTCACAAGATGAGACTGACAGTGCTACACTGGGTAGGGGAATAGCTAGCAAATTTTATGTTTACTTTCAGGCTAACTGTATTTGCTTCATTGACATATACAACTCATTTGGTGAAGTGAGCACAGGATACAAATGATACCAGCTGCCTGCAGAGAGATGAAGGTGAGCTCTGCATGAGTTGACAGTTCATAGGATAAAATAATCATAACTTTGTAATTTTTGGTGCTCTTCTTCCCATAAAGAAGATTGTAAGAGTCATTTTAAGATATATTTATTTTATTCTAATGAAAGGGCCAATTTTAAGGAAGTGGTAAATTTTA